ATATATATATATATATCTCAATATGCATTTCATTTACAGTTATATTATTGTCAATTAATAATTGCTGTTATCATTACTAATTTAAATTCATGACTTAAACCTGTTATGCGTACAGAGCATGATGAGCAAGACATAAATTAGATAGATTTACCTAGACATGTATAAGTTTGCATAAAGCACATGTGCTTGTATGTATATATAGATTTTCTACTTTAATGGAAACAATTGTATTGATTCCTATACACAGGATGAGTCGACTATGGATAATGTAATTCACACATTAATTAATGAATATTTCGTTTTTCTAGCACATTTTTTTCAAGTTACATGTAGCGCCCTATGAGCAGGAGCTAAATCTTAACTTTATATAGTCCGAAGAAGTCTCAGATAAAAATTTTAAGATTTCAAGGAAAATAGATAACAGTTAATAGTGACAACAACAGTTTATCATCAGTTTGATATTAGATAGTCGATCGAAGATTGCATGATCTTAAAATTTCTTAATAAATCAATATCATAATCATGTAGTTTCAAAACTCTACAACTTTTGTCTAAAACATTTTTTATAAAAAGCAAAAGAAAAAAAATAGACAATAATATGGCTAATGAGAATCAACGCTGTAAACAGTGCACAATTATATGTTTAATCTTAATTATGTTTATTAATAAAAAAAAATTAAACATTTTGACTCGAGTTTGAGTCATCTTCAGTGGTATAAAAATGTATTATTGTATTATCATAAATGCAATATCATCTATTTTGAGCAAAAGAAAAATTATATTTAGGTAGAAACATTAAAATGATCGACTTTATATATATCCCTACAATTAGATAATCAATTTAATAATATTGAATAAAAATCTCTTATAGAGTATATTTTATTGCAAAAAATTTTAAGCCATTTTAAGAAATTTAACTTTCAAACAATTAATCAATGTTAAACCAATAATATTATCATGCATCCTTCTTAAAACCCAAAAATTTTATGTGAGGTATTTTTTTGCACAACGTCAAGTTTAGAAGACATACAGCTGTTTCTCTATTAAAATGGAAATATTCCAGTATACATAAAGATTGTTATCAAACTTACGAGATGCATTGTCATAAAGCATTCTGTTTTTTTTATCTGGATCCAATGCATACTTAATGTATTAATGATAGTGGACGGAATGGAGAAATGTAGAAATAAAGAAATAAGTAGTAATACTAAATATACTTATAAAGGAGATCTATCAAATCGCATTTATCACTTATCTAAATAAAAATTTCTGTGCTATAAATCAAATAAATTATTAAAAATATTCTAATTTTTTAAATAAAATTAAATTTCTGAATCACAAGATCGATGTCAATGATAATTTAAGTGCCGTGACTTGAAAATCAAATAATAGTTCTTTTCAAATAAAACATAATTAAAATTAAAAGTTAAATCTTTTGGGGCAAGTTAAAAAACTTATAAAATCAAATTCTAGTCCATGTTGTATGTGCTTGTATGCATGTGAGGACGATTGATTTTATTCAACCTGAGATTTGATTAGCATTGGTGTTAGATCCAACGGAAACCGATGGCGGGGTCGCCAAGTCCTGCATTAGCGTGTGCATTTCCTCCTCTTGATCGGAAAGTGGGATAGCTGGAGTATCGTGCGAGTTAACTTGCTTTATCTTCAACTGGCTTGGCACCTCTGTGAGTACTGGCCCGTACTGCGAAGTGGAACCCACCAGCAAGTCAGTCGATGGATTCAAACCGCCCAACATCTTTCGTCATAGCAACGCGTACATAAGATAAAGAAACGAATGTACCACAACGTACCAGAGAGCGGATGGCTTCCGGTTTTAAAATAAAAATAGACGCAAAATATCGCACGGCTAGAAACTTGTTTGCTTACCTGACCACTGCTACCTGTCATGCCATTCCTTGGCGATTTGCTATGATAGAAGAAACTGAGCCATACCCAAACAAAGCCAAGTAATACACCAACCAGCATTACCCCAGCGCCTAATGCCACGGAACCTTTTCCTGCATTTTCAACATGTTGCTGTACATCTGGAACTGATGTCGAAGATTCTTCTGATTTTACCTGTAATTGTCATTTGATATCAGTCATTGATATCAATTGATTCATATTATATAAATCTATAAGTAAATAAGATTTAAGTCTCAACAACTTTCAAATACTTTAAAAATAACAATGTTTAATAATTGTTTAATATTAAAATTTTCTTTTAGTCTTTGGCAAATTTATATATTTTATTAGCACAATTAAAAAAAATTTATAAATATACAAAAAGTCTCAGAAATGATAGTGTTTTTAAAATTAGATATGACAAATATAAAAAGTCAAATATAAAAGACTTCTTCCCATTTTTTTCTTTTGTAAAATTTTTATTCTTTTATTTTACACACACATAAAGACAAAATAAAATTAGATTTAAAAAAATTGTAAAAAAAATTAAATATGTAAAGAGTTGCATAAAATTTGAAACATAAACATTTTTGTAAATAATTATTAGCATATGAATCTTTTCAGACTTTTTCACCGGTTAGTTTCTGAAAAAATTTATAATAAAGTTCAGAATTTTGTAATAAATTATAATAGAAAACTTAATATTACACTTTTCGATAAGAATAATTATTAAAAATAAAAATATTAAAAATTGACTAAATTTATATAAAAAGATATATTAAAATTTTTCTTACTTCCCTCCCTTCCTCCCTTCCTCCTTCCTCGAACGGTTTCAATACATGGTTTTTTTACAATGTAACAAAAAATCCAAATAAATGCTATTGATCTCAATATTACTTAACTTAATAACATCGTTAAAAAAATAGTATTAAAAATAAAATAGCATTACTACAATTATATGAGATAGATATTAGACAGTGTTAGATCTCCAATTAATATGATATACGTTAAGTTAAGTTAAGAAATAATAAGTTAAGAATAATTGAATAAACCTCTCTCAAGCCTATATTATATTAAATCCTTGTAATTGGCCTTTGGGACTAGATTTCATGCCAAAGAAACGAAACTAATTAATTAAAAAAAAACATATACAAAATATCATTTATAGTAAATCAAATAAAAGATACATATTATATACAAATATTTACTGCGTATTTATTGTATATTTACTTACATAAAAAAGGCTCGAATAATACAGATAGCTAAAAATTAGTTAAAGTGAGAGAAGTTATAACGGCATTGTCCAAGCATGGAACATGAAACGATTTTCTATTATAATGCTAGATTTGTTAAAAAAAAATCTCAACAAATATATAGTCATGATTAAAACGGAGACATCGATTAAAATGAGATCAGATGATGAAATAAGAAAGATACGAGAAATGAAGATCATACAAGAGAATCAACTGTAATTGCATGTCACTATATAAAAACACTTATATTTAAACAGAATTATTATAAGACAGAATAATTTTGTTCAAGCCGATTGAATATCAACATTTGAAGAGTAATATGAAAAAACGAGTTTAGAGATCATGGAGTTGACTTTTATATCTAAAATCCAAACATCCAAAGAAGATTGAAATCAAGACAATGTCACAATACTTTACCTCTGGCACGGTTTCGTCACTGGTCCTCGGAGAGTAGTCCACGGAGACTAGGCTGACCATCATCGTCGTGAGGCCGGCAACGAAGAAGCATAACGCGACCGACAGCAGCGTCCATTCCAACCATTTCCTGGAGCTGAGTTTGTGCCTGGACATAACTCGCCAGAAGCCATGCCTCAGCCCGGCGCCGCCGTCACCACCTCCGCTGCCGTCACCGCCGCTGTCGTACATATAGCCGACGGTGGTCGGCTGGTAAACAGCTCCGCTGTCCGGCATGTCTTCCCGCGAGATATAAGCAATCTTTCACCTTATATCACGTTCTCCTGGAGGATCGAAGTCCTCACGAGTTAATTGTTTCACGATCGAGCGCAGCTTTGGTTCCGACAGAACAAATCACGACTTCACAGTGTTCACGACGAGACGGGATGCGATGAGATGTGACACGACTCGCCGCGTCTACCTACGTTCATCGCACATCGAAAATCTACGCGCCGCGTTCGTGTCGTTTTCGGACGTATAACCACAGTGGAACCACAATTAACCGAGTTGACCACGATGTAGGAAGCAATAGTAGCAGTAGATCCACCCGATGTTGTGGCGCCTTTAATCTTGATAACTATAGTATAACGCGGGATACAGACACTCTGCGTCGGTATCTTTGATCTCTGTCACGTGACCATTCGCCATGTTACTATTTGAAAATTCAAAAACGAATATGGAATGATAGATATTAAAAATGTATGTATAGAATTATAGATTTGTGAAAATTTATAGAAATGAGAATATACTATATATAAATTATTATTATTATATATTATATAATGATATATAGTGTATTCTCATTTCTATAAATTTTTATAAGTCTATAATTTTTTTAATACGTAAAATTATCTTGTGTGCAAAATGTCATTAGAAAAATCTATTTCAAAAAAGAAATTAAAAATGTAAAAAATATATAAATCTTTATTTTTAATTTATATAATATGATACAATATTAATATCTTATAACTAAAGTATATACAATATATATTATATATTATATGCAATATTGTATATTAATATGTAATATTATATATTATATATTTATATTTTATACACCATATACATATCATACATTTTTATTATATATGGAAATGTTATAATGATATAAATAATTTTAAATATAATATATTGAACAAAATTTTTTATATCATTTCTTTCATTTTTTAGAAAATTAATTTCAGAATCTAATAGACAGTGTAGAGTATACGAGCATTTATATAAATATTTGTTTTTTTAAATACAATGCATCTAAAATATTATATTTAACAATTGTACAGTTGTCAACTAGATTTAATTTATGTTAAACAATCAGTTGCTCGTTATCTTTAATGCTAACTCTCAGCTTCTGAATAATTGGAATTATTTTCGATACTTATCGTACATGGAATATATTCCTGTCCAGATTCCTGCAGAAAATAAAGATGAATTATAGCAACATAAGAATTAATCAATTTATTTAAAATTTGCAAAATTATAAGAAATTATTTTATTTACCGAATTTACTATAATTTGTCTGCCTTCTTCCAAATTTAGTTCATCCATTTCCTCTGTTGTTAAGATTATCACAGAATCCTCAGGTATACTATTTTCATCTATGTAAGTTATAGGCATTTCTGATGTAACCTGTACATACCATGAATCTATTAATAATGAACAAATCATAATAAAAAGATTATATAATTTGTTCAATTAAATATGTTACCTCACAATAACTAAAATTGGAGTTTTCTTGCATTTTCATTTGAGCATCATTCAATACTGGTGTATCAATTAATCGTTGTTGTTTTTTCACATTTGATGATTTTTCTATCTTTTTTCCATCTTGTTGGAGTCTTCGCCATATTGTAGTTTTTGGAATATGATATGTCATAGATGCTGCAGCTTGTGACATTTTGCCACCTTTACAAGCAGCTACAGCTTCTTCTAATCGTGATTTCTTTAATTCCTCATTCTCAGTTTTGCGTTTTTTCCAAAATGATAATGGCAATTTACCTTGATCCACTAGTCGTGCCTTTTCTCTAAACAATGTGGTCTTTGGTATCTAAGCGTTATTGATATATTATATTCAGTTAACACTTGTTACTAATACAATAGATTTTAATATGAAAATAATGAATATAACTTAGAATAAAATTTACTTTAAATTCCAAAGCAACTTTTGTCAAATTTTCTCCTCTTTCCAAAGCTTTAACAGCAGCTTCTCTTGTGTCTAAAGCATACGATCTCTTCATTTCAGGACGTAAAATTTGATAGCCTTCTTTTTGTATACGTCTCCATAGCACAGTTTTAGGAATTCTAAATACTTCCGATGCATGTTGTAAGCTTGAACCATCTATGATAAGTAGCACGTAAGTCAAAATATAATTATTAAAAATACAATTAAAATGTAAAAAACACTAACTGATTACAGCAGTTATTGCTGCATTCATGCATTCTGCAGGATATCCGTTTCTTGATGCATTTAAATGTATTCCCAATGCTTTTGCCCGCATATATAACGTCGAGCGTGGTATATTGTGCTTAGTAGCAGCTTCTATCAAAGTTTGTCCTAATTTCAAGTCATTAATTGCAGATGCCAACATGTCATCATTGTAATCTCTTTTTACAGTCTCACGGCGTACGTTTTTTTCTTTTTATTTGAAATACAATTTTCAGTAGTGCTTGGTTCATGAGATTCATTTTCCAAAGGTTCAACATTGTTTTCAATTTCCCCTACTTCTGTCATAGTTTCTTCTGTAGAATCTTTTCTACTTCTAATACTTTCATCTTCTTCAAGCCCATCTATCTGTTGAAAATATATGTATCAATCATAAATGTGTAAGTGCTAAATAATCGCTAAATAGATGCATAGAAAATCCTCTATAGCATATTAAACAGTAATATGACTAACATCAATAAGACCACTTATTTTTAATGAATGTGCAGCTTCAAGTAAGCTACTAATGTTTTCCATAGGAACGCGGATTTCACCATGATATATGAATTCAATAATTGATTTTATATCCTGAGGAGATATATCACTCAGAATAATTGTTGGATAATCTTCTGTCACTTGACTAAGTACTTCCTACAAATTATATATTAAATATAAATTATATATTATAATAATGATTGTATCTATATCTTGATACTATATTAGTATTATTTAGTATACTCAAGTTATAATTGTAAAATTTTAGTTATAGTAACAAATTATGCAATACAGATTGAATAGTATAACTAAATTAAACAAGCTTCTTAGAGGATATTGCTTTTAAAAGATACAGTTGTTATTGTTTGCTATTGCTAGTATTATTATTACTAAGCAGGTATAATATTGTGTTTTCAATCACCTAACTCTAAGATTTCTTAAATTTATTTTATAGTTATACAAAATATTAATATTATTAATTAAATCTTATGTAATGATTTTACAGATAATTTTATATGTAGCAAATTTCTCGAAAGAAATAATTTACTTGAAACAAAATACTACAAGCGCACAATACAATGCGATGCGCGTGAATACGTTGACCAGCTGCGGATAGAATGACATCCACCATACAATCCTCCTTTAAGAGCTGCCTCACGACGTCAGACAGATGATTCTGATAATTATTCCATTTAAAGCGATAAGTTTGATTGATTTTACAATGTGCAGCGTCGGTTGTCATGTTGTTTTGGTTGCTTATTTCCTTTTCACTTTTTCAAGCGAATACTCGAGACGATTAAAATTCGGAACAGGACCGTATTACTAGCACTGAAATACAATACAGAGAGAATGCAAGGGAGAGTGAAGCGGATTCCCCGGAAGTCCGCCATTCTCAGGTAATCTCTTGATAACGAGCGGGATATTTAATTTCATTAGAGTATAGATCTCGGTTATATGTCTGTAAACGTTGTTTTTAAATTATCTATGTCTAAAAACGTTGTTTTTAAATTATCTATTCTATTTCATTTTGCTTCTTCAGAATCTATTTCAATATTTAAAAAATATTATAGAAAATGATTTTCTACATATATATTTTATTTGCATCCGTTGAATCCTTAAAATATTAAAGCTTGTACATATAAAAACAAATATATAGACGATCATTCTGGGACCATGACATTAGTATATATATTAGAAATATTTATGTGTAATTACGAAATGAATCATAGAATTTATTTAATTTTCCTGTCCCTTTCCTTTATATTGATGGAATTATTAAATAATATTTTTTGAATACAATATTTCAAAATCAAAAATAAATATAAACAAATTTTAATATGTTAATTATATAATACAAGAATACAAATACAATATTAAGAAAATTTCATACATTTTTGTTCTATAATAAACATATGAAATCTGTTAATGTATAACTTATAAATTTGTGTAATATTAAAAAAGTATAAATAAATATTATACACATACAATAACACATTACAAAATAAATACAAGTTTTCTGATAAATACAAATTAAGTAATAAATCTCTGCATTTGTGGTTGATGTATCATAATTCCATTCGTTTTACCTAAATGAAAAAATACTTAGTAAATTTAAGTAATATTAGTAATGCTCTATGACAAATTTACTAATAGTTGAAATTATTACTATTAAAATCATACTCAAATTAATATGTAAGATTTTTGTGAGAGTCTTAAATAAAAGAACAAATAAGAAAAATAAGAGCTCTAATTACAAAATAATATATAATTCATAAGGCAAAATAATTATAAGAAGTATGTATTAAAAAAAAAATCAAACTTATTTTACAGTTTTATATGACACAGGCATAAAATATTAATATATGTTATTTACATTAATTTATATTATTGATATTACAATATAAAATTATTTATTAATCTATTATCTTTTTATTTACCTAATTCTAATATGTTAAATGATATTTATATTTTTGTTTAATTTGGAGGTTAATTGTGCATCTTGAAACGAAATGAAAATTACAAAAGTGAGAAAATTCATTTATCAGAATATCTGCGACTTCACATACGTTTAATACATTATCTAATACATTTTCTCACTTTTATAATTTCCATTTTATTTCAATATACACAATCAACCTCCTGTACTACTATGGCGTTGTGCTCCTATATATTCTATCTATATATTCTTATATCCATGATCGTCACACGTGTGTCTCTCTTATCTTTCTTATATCTATGAAAATACTGTTCGAAAATTGACAGCGGGAAAATTGTCGGCAATTTTGGTGCATGGTGAGAGCAATGTGCCAGGATCGATTTTTCGAAAGAAGTATTGTTTGTGGGTTTTTAATACAAAATGGATAATAACGATATGAATTTGCATGATATCAAGGATACTATTGTAAGTATTAAGCGCGATATAGTTGAGCTTCAATTACACGAGTTTTTTTGTTCATAAATTAGGTTAGGTTAAGTTAGGTTATAATATTAAATCTTTTCTATACATGTAAGAAAAACATCTTTTTTGACATTTTGAAAGAAAATAAAATTATCTGTATTAGAGAACATATAAATATATGAATATGCTTTTTTTATACTTAAAAATTCTTTATATTTATAAATGTGTATACTTATGCGGTCTTTAAAGATTTTTAAGACAATTTAAAATCTATTAGAGTTACATCAACATGCCAATAACGAAATTGTTTTGCCTTATATGTTTATCTTCTAGGAGGACATTACATATTTTTCATCTTTTTTTTCTCTTTAACTAGATGTTTTAATTTAATTAGATGTTTATTTTATTTAGAATACAAGAAGTAATTTATATAATATAATTAAGAAAAATTGATTTTGTGCTATATATTAAGAAAAATCAATAGTCACATGATTATAGCTTAAGCGTTTTATTTTTTTATATTTTGTTACTATAATCTTGTATAAAATATGATTATGGACAAACACTTATATATATTGTACATTATGGATAAATATATTCAACATATTTTTTCTAATCTTTGTAACATATTATTTTGTTATTTTAGAAACATAATATTTATTATTTTAGAAACATAATTTAATTGATAAAATATTTTTCAGGAACTTGATAAAGACAAGAAAACAAAAGAATCACTTATATTATTGAAACAGAAAATGTGCAAGACAAAGTAAGCATTTTTTTAATGATTCTATATCTTTTATTCTATATTTTTTACATTAAGAGATTTATTAATATCCTGTAATATTATAAAAGATCTAATAGAATATTTATCTTTTTCAGCCATTTAATTCAAGAATACGTTAAAAATGTAAAAGAAATTAACCATTTAAGATCAGATTTGGAAACTGCAAAGAAAGAGGCTAAACATATGATAACCAATTATCAATCCGCTATGGATAAGATAAGAGAATTAGAACTTGTAAATAATAATTTTTTTCTAAATTTATTATTTTAATTTAATTTTATTATAATATATAACAAGACTATATCAATAATTTGATGTTATCAATTTAAGAATTTAATATTGTAAGTTTCTGAAATGTTTATTAGTTTTAATGATATTAAATTATGTTACATGAAATATTATTCCAGCCAGAGTAGTAAGCCAGTGTGTCTGGCAATTTATACGATTAAAATTTAGTTTTTCTCTTAATCAAAAATGTTTATATTATATTTATATTATATTTATTTATATTATGTTTATATTATATTATTTTTATATTTAAATATATTTTATATATTAACAAAAAAATTTTTTAATTTTCAGAAAATTGTAGAAGATAAACAGAGAGATAAAAAATTAAAGGATAAGATAAATGAATATGAGATAAATACAGCTGCAGATAAACAAAATATAGAACAATTAAAATGTAAAATAAAAGATTTAGAAGAGCAACAATCTATTAAAGATATGGAATATAATCTACAAAAGTCATCTTTTGAAGGTAACCAGTTAAATCAAATACTTTTGTATATTTCTCATTTGTTATTTAATAAAAATTAAAGATTAAATTGTTTATTTTTACATTTTAAAATAAGTTTTATTCACAGATCAAATTAAAGATTTGGAACATGAACTAAAAAAGTCAAAAATAATACAAAAGAAAAAATTCCACAAAAAAGTTCCTATAGATTTCGATACTGCTAAATCAAGTATAGGTAAGTAAAACTATGAAAACAATTTTGTATTATTATATGATACTTCATGCTAATTAATATTCATAGGTACAAAATCAACTTCAGATATTGGTATCAACGTATCATTCGATGATAATAAACCATTGATAGATACAAAATCAACTTCAGATATTGGTATCAATGTATCATTCGATGATAATAAACCATTGATAGATACAAAATCAACTTCAGATATTGGTATCAACGTATCATTCGATGATAGTGAACCATTGATAGGTACAAAATCAACTTCAGATATTGGTATTAATGTATCATTTGATGATAATGAACCAAGCATAAGATGTGAGATACAAGACAAAAATATCATGACTGAGGAATTTTATAACATAAAAGATGATCCGTATCCATTGTTTTGTGCAAAATGTGAAACTCATTTATCTCCAGCTGTAGCTCTTGAAAAAATATGCAAAACCATGAGCATATGTCCAGAATTAATTGATAATAATTTATTTCCTTTATCAAAAAAGAATGATTCGTCGTGTTTATTATCTAGTAAGTATCCAATAAGTAAGTATCCTATTTGACTATTATTTGCATTATTATGACTATAACATTAAAACAATATAATGCAAATATTGCAACTACACACATTGCAAAATTGAATCATTAAATTTTTACATGAAAATGATTAATCTTTGAATTTTTATAATTTTGTAAGAAAAAATCGTATAACAATCCTCTTAGAGTCATTTTAAAGAGCAGAACCTCTAATTCTTTATAGGTTGATTTTTCTCGAAAGTGTTTTTACATTAAGAAGCTAGATAGAAAGTTTGAAAAAGATTTTAATTTAAAAAATTTTGCGAGTTTAAATGGAGCCTGCAAAAACTCTTTGTTACTTAAATTTACATGTAACTGCAATTTTAAACTCTTTTAAAATAACCTAAAGATAAAAATAACTTAAAGATTAATCTGCGATTTGTTTTGTTATTTTTTTTCAATCTTTTTGAACATAACAAATAGTCACTAACATTAGTATAATTTAAGATAAATCAATATTACCATACCACAAGAGGTACACGTCAGATGCACGATATGTCCTTTCTATATTATATAATTTATATTTATCTTTTTATAATATTTCTTAAATATTTTAAGTACATCCAATTTTGACAAATAGAATTGAAGATACTTTCTCTAGAACATCTATGCAATGTCTAATTTCATGTAATCAATATAATGATTCAATAGTTAGTAATCTAAAATCTTAATTAGGACAGTTGCCCACCGTGATGAAAATTGATGAATTAAGAAATATTAATATTTCATATATATCAATTGCAGACAATCAATCCAGTAATATCAGTTTAACTCCAGCATTTGCTGAAAATAGAAATAGTACAAAGCAAGATTTCTGTTCTAACAATATATTAACTGAACATTCCTCGTCTATTAAAAAAATGGAAAGAAAACTACAGTCATTAGAAAGTAAAATAAAGAAGTTACGAAAATTAAAGGAAAAGAGAAGTAAAAAAAGAAATTCTTGTTGTCATTGTATTGGAAATTATAATAATACCTCGATAAATTCAAATTTGATTTCTATAATCTGCAAAGGCATCGCAGAATATTATGATAATAAAGAAAAAACATGTTCTAAAAATCAAAATGTTGATTTGGAAAAATGTGATTACAGTCCCGAAAAGTTAAAATTAAAACAGAAACCATCGAATAAATGTAATGTACATGAGGAAACTTTGTGGAAAATTGACAATCTCAATGACAAATGTCAACAAAATACGTTTTCTGGAGATGCTACGACGGCGACAGATATTCTACAACCTGAATGCATATTGTCTAAAAATTGTTCATTCTCGAATATAAATATATTGGGTACATCTTCTAATGACACAGATGAATTTGATAAAAGAGACTTTGTTGATGAAGAAAGTACAATGCATTCTGCAGAAATGGCATCTGTTGAAGATGATTTAATAACATCACGTTTAAATACTGATGAAATATGTGTAAATGTAAATTGTGTAAATGATTTCTTAAGCAAAGATAATGTAAAAATTGCCAGTATAGATGATCAAACAGACACTGGAATATCTTTATCTAATGATGAAAATACCACTGATCATACTGATAACAAAATTGATAATGTTAATGTAGAAAAAAATAAAATGAAAAGAAAAAGCCAAAATAAAGATAAAATCGGCGATCGCTTATTTAAAAAAATACGAAACTTGAAAAGAAAAACACGAGTAAATTTATGCACAAATAAGCAAGAAAATATTGAATCATGTTCAAAAAATAATTCTGAATACAATGAATCAGCGAAAAGACAGCGATTTGAGAAGAAAGAGAAGAGTGACAATCATCTATTACAAAATATTAAAAATTTAAAGAGGAAATCAGAAACACAATCAGAGTCTATAAGTAAACAAGAGAATATTGAATCATGTTCTGTTAATTACGAACCGACGAAAAAATTACGAATTGCACATATTCCGAAAACATTGGTTCCTCAATTGCATATCAGCAATGAGGATATTTCCACACATCGTACAATAAAAACTATAGGTAGCGTAGAAACAATTCTACGAAAAAGTAATGGATATCAACGACTAGGTGCACGTATTCAGGAAGATAATTTGTTACTTAAAAGCATAAAGAGTCATACAATAAATAAAATATGTGATGAGAAAAATGCTGTCAAATCTATTACAACAAATAATATTGACAGACCTGCAAAAGAACAAAATGTAGACTGGACAAGTGTTAAAGATTGTCTTCAAAGTAACAATATTACTCTGTCTGCTACAGGTACTGAATGCATTTCTGAATTTGAAAAATCTAATAACATCTCGACTGAAAATACAACCAATAGAAATATATCAATGGATAAAGTAACTAGAAAAATTTTAAATGACAATGACAATAAATCGGATGTATTACACGATAAAAATAACAGTATTCTATATAATGCAGTGAATGGTTCACAACTTGAAGAATTAATTGCATTGAGAACCACTATCGAATCAGAATCCAATGCACTTAGTAAAGATCCAAATTACGAAAAATCTATTGAAACATCGAAAACGATTGAAACTAAAAATGATATAATCCCGATCAGTGAATTAAAATATACTCATGAGAAACTTAAAAACAAAAGTAAAGAAAAAATGTCAAAAAATGTGATTTCTAATAACGAATTAATATCAGATCTATCAACTGTGAAGGTAACACAACATGAAAGTTACAATGACGATATATCTGACAAAACTAATGAAATTTTACAATCACTGGCACCATTACAATCTTCGTTATCACCATCACCATCATCACTACCATCAGCATCACTAGTATCACCATCATCAGCATCATCACCACTATTACCACCACCACTATCACCATCACCACCACCACTATCACTACCATCATCACCACCATCATCACTATCATCACCACCATTAGCAGCATCACCATCTCTATCACCAGTATCATTGTTGCCATTATCAATATCACCATTACCATTATCATCACCAACCTCACCATTACCACCACCACCATCACCACCACTAGTATCGCTATCATCACTACCATCACTACCAACATCACTATCACCATCATCATTACCATTATCATCATCTCTACCACCAATATCATCATTGCCACGATCAATATCACCATCACCATTATTATCATTAACCTCACCATCACCAGCATCACCATTATCACCATCAACATTAGCATCACCATTATCACCACCAGTATCATCATCATTAATACCAATATCACCACCATCATCACTATCAATATCACCATCACGATTACCACAATTACTTCCATCACCATTATTTTCATCAATATCACTATCTCCATTGTCATCATCATCAAATAATAGTATTGTTGAAAGCAATACAAATGATAATGTTACTAAAAAGTCTTTGAATAATTTGCAAAATTCAATAAACAAAAGAGAAGAAACATACATGTACACTAAAGCAACTGGAAAACAAATTATCAAAACTAGAAAATCTAACAAGATTACTCAAATTCTACATTCATCGTCATCAGGATATAATAGTACTATTGAAGATTATACTATAAATGATAATAACATGAAAGGATTTCTTAATAAAATAGAAAACGCTAGGAATCAACAAGAAGAAACATGTATTAGTAAGGAAGCAATTAAAGTACAAGCTATCGAGATGCAAAAAAATAATGCATACATGAAACAACAAGATGAGAACATGAAATTTACTAGTAACTTACATTATATAAAAGAATCTCAGACACCAATGTCGCAGTTAATTAAATATATTAATCAGAAATGTAACAAAAAACATAAGCTGCCACATAAGAAGATACTATCAATTTCTAATATAACAGGTATTTAACAGAAATATATGAAAAATAGTAATCTTTAAAATTAAAACATAAAAATAAGTATTTTTTAAGAAATATTTTAAAAAGAAAATACATATTGAATATACAGATATTATTGATTATTCCTGAATCTTTATTTAAAAAATTTTTTTAAATTAAAGAAAAAGTGATCGCGCTTCGAAGTTAAATATTTTATCTGAAAATTTTCTTTTCGAATATAAAAAATATATAAAAGATCAGATTTTGTAAACAATTTTAAATTTATACTTTTAAGAAATGTATTAGACATTAGCAAAATAGTATAAATATAGTATAAAAGTTTAAACCAATTTATTTTTGAGATATTTTTTTAAAATGTATATATATATATTTATAATAATAGTTTTCAATGTTCCAGGCTCTTATCGTAAACTTTTAATACTCAAATAATTGATAAATATAAAATTTTATAAAAATAAGTCAATATGTATTTTCTTAAATTTAAAAAATATGCTTGTTTTTTTAAATAAATATCTCCTTTAATTAAACAAGATTATTAATCTATTATATATATTTTAGATAAATTTGTAAAAATACAATTACAAAAACTTGTAAATAGTACTTGGGAAGATTCTATATTTGATGATGTAATACAAAAATTAGGAAATACATGCGGACCTCGTATCATAGCCAAGTTAGTATAAGATGTAATGAATTATAAAATATAAATATCAATTAATATATTTTAATATATTATATTTTAATTATATATTTTAATATATTATACACATATAAAACTTATTATTTAATTATAGCAGATGTGATAGAAATATTTATTTTACAAAATAGACATAAATCTAAAATGAATCAATTAATATGAATGCCAGTATTTTACATACATGTTTTTTAAAAGGAAACAAAGAAAACTTTTATATACATATGAAAGAATAGAATTTAAACATTTTTTTTAGATTTTCTATTATTGTTATTTTAATATTTTTAAATTCTAATTGTATAAAAAAATTATGCTTTAACAAATAATGTTTTGTAAAAATTGATTGTTAAATTTAATAATACATTTCTTGTCTAATACATTTCTTTAAATTACTACTATGTTTCTGATATAACATAGTATTAAATATTTCTGTATTCAATATTATACTCAGTCATCTATTTTATAAAATAATATTTTGTTACTAAAATGATATTTTGCTTAATTTTGGAGATTTAAGTATATAAAAAATATGATATATGTAATAAAAATTAATATAAAAATAATCACACATATAGTAATATAAAAATTATCACATATACGTGATAAAAAGTACATATAAAGTTAGAAATTTATGCACTAAATAATAGAAAAAGGTAATATATATTTTGTAACCATTTTAGATGTATAGTTAACTTTTTATTGGACAACGTAGATGATGATGAACCTTTAGATAGATCATTTACTCCTCCAGCACCAATGATGACAACCTTTGAACAGAAACTCATAGTGTTATTACTTGATTTGGAAGTATTAAAACCCACAGTCATTTATTTTATGCAAGCCGCCATCGAATATCATCTGTTCAGACTTAATAATACTGTAAAAGTTTGTATCTTATATTTTATATATTAGAATATATCAAATCAGATTGTTGATAATAGAATGATATTTTCATAAATTAATACTAACACTTTCATATATATTCATATATATAGACCCAAGTCAATTCACTCACACGGATATATGTTATTCTGGCACGTATTCAGAAAGATAGAGAAAAAATACGCATGATGTGCTGCAATGCTCTTTATAGCATGGGTCTTAAGTCAATGAATGTTTTGTATACAGCATTAACGTGCTGGCCTGAAGTTCTCCCAAATGCCGAGACTAACAATGGTATTGTATATGCAAATTATATAATGCAGAGAAATTTGTTTATTTTCTCAACAAAAAAAAAATAAATTTTTACTTTCAGTTATTAAAATAACTTTGCACAAAGTTGCATTACTTATGATATAAGATATGATCTCATGTTTAGAAATATATACTTTCAAATTTTTACAGGCATATTGCCAAAATGCGTGGCCTTCCTTATTGGCACAAAGCATTTTGAATATGTTTCAAATGATGTAATATCATCAGCAAAAAAATTAAATACATTAAAATCACTGATATCAAGGTATCATAAATATAATTATACCGAGCAAACTATAAACGATATTATTAAGGAACTTATGACTATTCTTAAAGGTAAGCATTTTTTTTACATTACATTTGAATTATATAAATTATTAAATTATATAAATTATATTAATTATATTAATTGCAATATATTTGTTTAGTTAAACGGATTGATGGCCTAGATACAGCCATTATACTTATTGCAAAGAGAAAAGGACCGGACTGGACATATAAAAATATTATTAAATCTGTCCTATTGCCAATGATTATTAAATATGAGCATCCTTGTATATATAGTGCATTTTCTTTACTTGGTATGTCTTTTTCTCATTTACTATATTATACATTTGCTATATTATATTTTTGACGGAGTATTAATAATACATGTGTGTTTGGTGTTATTTATAGGAAGACTTTTGCGCGCATTCCCATTGACAGATGAAAACAATATTGTGAAAGATATCAGTGAACAGCTTCGTGATCTCATCCAATCTGGCCAAGGTGATATACTCATTTTATATGGAAAGCTAATTTTTATTATACAATATATTACATGCATTTGCATTTACAAATAAGCGCTTCAAATTATATACAATGAAATCAGAGGCATGTGCT